GCTAAAAAAATTACATATTTCTTTCATTCATCCGTATCTGAGATATAGGTTCGCAGTGAGCTTTGTCTGAGCGTTCCAACTTTCCTGTTTGCTGAGTTGAAAATGGGTGTTAAAGCTCACTCGCTTCTGAACGCACAGACGAAAAATCTTTGAACAATATGCGTTTTTGCATTCGCATGAGAGATGTCTCTTGTATCTAGTGGGTTTGTAGCAAGTGAGAATCAGTAATATCACTTTCATATCCAGTACTGTCGCCACTAACATAGTCATCGCCATTATCAGCCTTGTTATCATTACTGTTGTGATTATTATAGAGCCACACGGCTGTCATCACGATTGCTATTGGTGCAGGTCCATACTGTTATTATTACTGTTACTTCCAGTACTAGCAGCAGTAATTTTGCAAACAGTATTTGATGTCACTGACGCGTGCGGAGCTTTCAACGGCACTGGAAGTGCAAATTCCGATGGCGATTGATGCCCATGGCATCGTGTGTACCAACAGTGCACATCAGGATGAGCCGTGCACCTGCACGCTGGTTCAGAATGAGACGCTGCTTTTCAATGAATACAATGGTGCCAAGGTGATGTGACCAAGCCTGTCTTTGAGTTGCAGCGGCATCAGGGAAGACTAGAAAAGAATGGTTCCTAAAAATGATTTTGGTTTTAAGTGTTCCCTCCGACTGGACAAATAAGGAAATACAGCTTTGTGTATTTTTTACAAAGCCACTGAATAATTTTGAAAGTTCATGTGATCATGGTAAACCATTTCTAAATCTAACTGCCTTTTAATCTTCCACAGCTTTCTTTTTCGTCAGGTCTAAGTGCTATTTGATATAAATCTTACTGGTATTTGGGAAACTTGCGCCAATTTAACGAAAATTTCGTAAACCAAATTTGTCTACGTATTAGGATAAAGACAGGAGAGAAGGAGAACGAGGGGCTGATATCCTGTGCATTTGATTTTCAGGGGCTCAAACATCTGCAGGTTTAAAAATTTTCCAGATTTCTGGATCAATTACATGAGTTTTTTCCCTCCCGTTCAGCTTTTGTCTCACGCTTTTCACTTGAAAAAAATCCCTGGATCAGCCTACACAGCTTCAACTCCCAGTCGCCCCGCTTCATAACTTGTTTAGCTCCTCGTCCAAATTAGTACTATAATCTTAGAACTAAAATGTCCACAAGTTTAAAATTTCTACTTCGAAGTTTTCAAACTCGTGTAAATCCAGAACTATGAAGCAATCTTTCAAGTCAGAACTGTAAAGCCAGCTGT